GAGTGTTTAAATAAGCTCAATATTTAAACCCTGTCAGGTTGAGGTCACTAAAAAAAAAAAAAAACCACCAAACCTCTAGCAGATTATTTCCTTTCTTGTTCTTCTCTATACATCTCCCTTCCCCTCCAGCAGTGAAGAGAACATCTAACTGCTGCCACCAGTACCCAGAGGAGAGAAAACCAAGGCTGAGACACCCATCCCAAGGTGCACACACTGCCCATTCTTTCCAGCAGCCCCCTGAGATGTGACTGAGCACAGGAGCCCTGCTCTCCTCCTGTCCCACTGCTCCAAAACCTACAGATGGAGAGCAGCCCGGAACCGGTGAGCAGACACGACTGCAAGAGGGACCCTACGCACTCTTGTACCAGTGACAGCCCAGAACAACGTCCACCTTGCTGCATTTTTGTTTCCTGGGGCTGCAAATAACCTACGGTATCTTGAGATCAGTGTACGCCAATTCGTGTTGCCACTCTCCCATTTTCTCTGTCTTTGCATTATTTGCAGGAAGGGAAAGTTGATAAACCTCTTTTGCATTGCTTGTATCTCAGGAAGCAGGAAGATTCAAAGCCACGCATTCTACACGATGGGCAGGAGTCAGCTGTTCAGGCAGATGCAATTGCTACAAAAAGGAAAAGGCAACTGTGAGCGAGCATCACAGAATCAACATGCTCACTCCAGGGACCCATTCCGGCAGGAGAAATGGACTTTTAAGAACTGGGCTCCTCCAGAATATCCCATTCCAGAACAAATCCTTCAGTCACCTCTGAAGTAGAAGCACCTCCACTTCTGCGTACGCTGCAGTTTTCATGGCCACAACAATCAGGCAGCAATCCAGGAAACAAAGCTGAGCTTCACAGAAAGGAGCAGGGGGAAACCCTGGGCTAGAGCCGGCACAGCCAGGAGGAACGTGGAGGTCTCCTGACACATCCGCAGCAGAGCACAGTCAGCTGCTGCAAGACGTTTAGAAGGCAGGAAATAGCAAGCCAATAGGTTTAAAATGAATATGGTAAAGCATGTGAATATGTTAAAATGAACACATTAAAGTCCCAAGCATTTAATCCAATTAACATTTTAAGACAGTTTGGCTATGCCTGTACCAGCAGGGCACAATGCTAAATCAAGCCCTCTGTCTCCCAAGCCACTGGAGACAAAGTTGGACACTGCTGGAGCATCTCGGGGCAGGGGGGCTCAGAGACACACAACTGCCTTTGGGGTGGTCCCAAGACAAAGAGAAGAAGAGCAGAAAGCCCAGAGAGCATCCATCTGATGCAACACAGAGAAGATACAAGACTCTGGCTTTGTAGCTGGGAGGACACGTCAATGCCAGGCTTGAGCCAAGGAAGCCCCAAAGACCTGAACAAGACCACCCTGGCTCTGCAGGCAGCAGCCTTACAGAGAGCTCGGGGATGCCGTGCTCTGCTGCACAAGGCAGGCGTGCCCTCTGGAGCCCAAGCGTGCTGGGATAGGGTATTGCAGCTCAGCAAATAAATACAGCAGCTATACAGGACATCAATTAGTCACTAATAGAATTATGTCTCATAAATCAAACAATCTATAATCTGAAAAATCTTGTGCTTAAAAAGTGTGCTGATTTTTAATTGGTTTTATATTCCCTGCGACGATTATTCAAAGCACTGTATACAAAAGGCTTGGGAAAAGAAGTCATTTAATCAGATTAAAAGGAAATCCCCTACCAGCTGGGAGCCTAACAGCTCCCACACCCTCAGTGTATTTGCATAACCTCCACCTACTAAACTTTTCCAGGGTATCACTAGGGCAGCAGTCCCAGAATCAGCTGGTTGCTCAGTTTCACCTCTCAAAGCAGGCAAAAAGGATGACCTGCAGCTTTCAGAAGAGCTCCTTAATATTAAGAAATGCTTATGAAACTGAAGTCAACACTCCATTCACACAGATGCTTGAAGCAAACTCTTCTGTTTCCACCACAAACAGCAATCATTACTCTGTAGACATGACAGATTTCTTCTGGAGCATCTGGAAGTTGCTGCCTGTAAAGAAGAATCTGACTAGCATAATTAAATTAGCTCAACCATTTTAATTATTTTGGCACAGCATCTCAACTGAGAAGAAGCCAAGTTTCTATGTTGTTTTTGCAGCATTGCAAGGTTCTCTAAAACCTACCCATAGCCCTCACATGCATTCCTGTTTGTCCTCTCCAAATGGAAATACGAACACCTGGATTTATAACAAAGCACAAGCAAAGATACACAAGACAAATTTCTTTCTGTTCTTCTTGGTTTGTTTTTTCCCTCCTTCCACGAGAATCATTTATTCAGCAAGCTTTAATTCTACGCCTGCTACTAGAACACCATTTCATCACCTTCTTTTTGACACCTTAGACACTCCTCTCCTGGACAGCTCAAACACCTTGTGCCTTTTGCCCAGCCCCTGCGCACTGTCTGCAATTCCTATCCAGAGATCTCATCCTCAGCTTTCTCCCCTTGCATTTCCATTCCTTGGCTTCAAAGGCAGGTTTTCCCACCAGCCCCTGAAGATGCCAAGTCCTCTTCAATCCTGCTCTCCTTAGATTCTCCCTACCTTTAAGCAAGGCACAATCCATTATGTGATATAACACACACACAGGTCAACTTCACAATTCTCTTGTACTCAACACTAATCACAATTGTTGCCACTCATGCTACATTTCTACACACTGTTTGGAAAAATGCCAGTCTATGTAGGTCAGCCAAGACCCAGGTACCCCAGTTTTGCTGGTTTCTTGCCCTGGTAGTCAAAACCTGCTTTTATCACCGGTGTCAGCACTTTCCATGCACTGCTTCACACAGCTCTACGTAAACGTCTACACAATTTCCCTGCCCCTTTTAAGGATGCTCACCAGCTTCGACATCCCCATACAGGCAGCAAGACACAGACTGACAGCGTCCAGGGGAGCACAGCTGCAGAGCTCCTGTCCACGGGAAATCATTTGGGCACCTCGTCCACTCCTGCTCTCAGCTGCAGCGACACCAGCCTTGCTGCTAGCAGACATCCTGCCATACAGCCCGCAGTGCAACTGCCCACAACTAACCAGGTGCTTTCCCCTTCCCACACTCTTTTACCAAGACATCAGTTAAAAAAAAATGCCCCTGAAGCACAGCGCCAGGGTGCCACAGCTACAGTCACCCCACTGAGCAATAAGGTCTCATCATTTCCTTTGCCTGGCTTTCCTTTGCTGTTCCATCTCCAATCTTCTACGTACACCACACAGAGTTAAAATTCAGCAGCATCTGTCCCTGCACAACCTAACATTCAGGGAGGACCCAAGCAATCAAGTGAGAGTACTTTGTATCTAAAGGCCCTTTCAGAAAGGGAGTCAAATTACCAATTTCGCTCCAAGTGCTGAAATTACAGAAACAGAAAATGCATTTCACACACAATGTGCTGGAAGAAGAAAAAGAGAAAAAAAATCAATAGTTTGTTCAACACAGCAACCTGAAAATCAGCACATGAGAATGAATATTGAAAGGTGAAAGCCAACTACACGATCATGTACTTGCAAAGAAACTGTAATTTCACTTTATGTGCAGTTTTCCCCTTCATCTTATACTCAACATATAGCGGCTCAATTAAATGGGAAGAAAACAGAACGAACTATTCACTACAGTGGGTTATATTTAGCAATAAGCAGCCTAACATATTAAAGCATTTTTCTTCCCAGTACTCAACCTGAATTGATACTGTCAACAGCTGCCAATAACAGAAGGCATTCCACAGAGTCAGTCAAAGAAAGGAGCTAAAAAAAATACAATATACTAAAATATAATTAAAGGTAAACTATCAGCTGAATGATGCTGATAACCACAGGCATTTTACTTCTACAGAGGTGTACTTCTGATAAAGGCCTTTCCTTGCAGCCAGGTGGTATTGCCTGGCATCAGTGAGTCAAGGCTGCTAAATTATAAAGATTATGGATCTCACAGGGGTTCCCATCCAGGCCAGGAATAGCAGTTTTGAAAAATAGGAATGCCATTGCCTTTAGCAGACTTTAGATCAAGCTCCATGCTGTAGCCAAATCACGACCTCCGTGACTGCCCTACAGGGCAAAGAGGGCTCACAGTAACCACAACAGAAGGCTATGGACTAGTTTGATTTAGCAATGTCCATTTAAACACTTATCCCAGTAAAAAGAATTCAGCCTAGGATCTGGTGATTCCCAGAGAAACATTTCCTGGCCTGGAAAGGGGCATCCAGTTCTTTATTATGGACAGACCAATATCTATTTTTTCTACATTCTCAAAAAAAATATGTAGAACTTTAAACTGGCCACACCAAGTCAGTCAGTGATTTTTCTGTATGTACCCGAATTGCCAGAAGTGTTTGCTGAAGACACTGAGGACAGTAAGATCAAAGGCCTCACACTCGTATGTGCAGCACACAATTAGTGGGGAAAAAATGAAGCTAACACAAAAGTTGAAAAGTACTTCTACCCTATATTAGCTCCTACATGAAGATGTAAAATGACAAAGGGAATTATTTCAGAATTGCAGCACCGTATCAGTTATCTGTCCACATACACGAGGCTCTAGCAGACAGATTGCACTAGGCAAGGCCAGAGGTAACCCACCTGTCTGCTCAGAATCCTGGGTATTTCAATATACAGAAAAACCACACAGACCTAGAAGTCATCAGGAACCACATCCACAGCTAAGAAAATCCGTTAGCACGAGCACAAGATTAGATGTTAACACAATGTCAAATCCATCACTCTTTTGGCGGGCTTTCAATCAGATCAACCTTCCCACCCCCCCTTTTTTTCCCTTAAGAAAACATAAGGACATTTTGAAATAGCTTAAGTGACATCAACAGAACATTATAGTGATAAAATTCATCCTGTAACATCTGGTAAGCAGACACTGCTTTGTTTGTTTTTCAGAAGAGAGCAAGTATATATGCAAGACAAAAAGCAGCCATCTAAAACGCTTGATTGCATGAGCACTAAGTCCAGATTCAAAAGTAAAAAGGATTTTTTTTCTGTGACTTACCAGAATTTCTCTTTGACACGAGCTTCAAATTCATGCTGACTACAGTACAGATCACAAGAACCAAGAGAACAAGAGGCTTCATCTTTCACTTTCTTTGGCAGCTGAAATGCAAACATAGTACAAGTCTGAATCACAGCTCTTCACTACAACAAAGCAGCAGCTACAGTTAAACACTTCTCAAAGAACCATTGCAGGGCAGCGGCTGAGCCCAGTGACTTCTGGGTTTATTTTTATACAGAGGTAGGAAAACAGAATGGTTCAAAGTAACTGTCTATGAATAATTTATCTCTGAATATCACACAAAAGTTGTTTTACTTTTAAATGACACTTGGAAAATATTATTTTGCTTAAGAAAAACAAAATAAGACTTAACTACTTATCTGAAACCACATGGGTTTAATGTGGCAGTTTTTTGTATGTTATCAAGGAGGAGACCCCAATGTCTATAACTACTTTTAATGCAAACAAGCCACATGCTTTAACAAAACTTTGCATTGTTTGGGAAAAGATAAGAGTCAGTTATTCATGCAATTTCTCTTAGAAACCTTATTTTCCCCACTAGTGAGCTTGTAAAAGCTCCTACAATGAAGTAATGCAATTGCAGACATTTCTCCTAAAAAATGAAGTAAAGGCAGCTGAATGAAATTCAGAAGTGCATGAATGCAGACCTTGGCATTCTTATTAAAAAGCTAAAATTATTCTCTCCTGGGAATTTTACTATCTACTTTGTAATATGTATATTTAAAAAAACAAGAAGTAGTAGTTTAATATCATAGAGTTTTATATAATTACTATTACTGTTTTCATTTACAAGTACAAGGTCATTCAAGAAAAGTCAGCAATAGGAAGAGCAAACTGAGGTTCTGTACGTGTACTTAAAAAGAGGCGTAATGAATCCAAACCCAGCAAAGCCCATCCTTCTCTAAATGGAAAAGAGAGAGATGCTTAATTACAAGCTGGAGTCCTCAAATACATGTTTAGCTTGAAGTCACAGGCCTTTAAGTGGCTTGGTGTACTTAGACCCCAGGAATTCACCTCCGTGTCGGACACAGACTGGGATCAGGACCCTTATTCTCAGATATAGGGGGCAGTTACCTAAACCAGCGTGGAATTATTACCTGCATCAAAATAATCAGCAGACATTTTACAGTTTCTTTTAAGCAGAAAAGCACTGAATCACCTGCATTAGCAAGGAAAACAAAGGCCAACAGAGCAGAGGCAAACTTTAAAGGGGGTATCGCATCCTCCCAGCCCTGTCCGAGGCACCCACAGTGCTGGGACCAGCCCAGACCCCGGCGGCTCCAAACATTTGCTCAGCTTGGTAAGGCTGCAAGAGCGCAATGTCCTGCAGTGCTCTAAAAATTATTCACTTTAATTTGAGCTTATTGCATCAAGTATTCTTCCCTTGTAATTTTACTACCAGCCCACTGTTGTATGAAGGCAGTGTAAGGAACCATGTATAATCCCTTACACGATGGCAATTAGGCTGCTATTCAATTATTTCAGAATTACCACCTCCATCCCAAGTTTTCACCCCTCACCCCACCGCACTACCAGCTATAAATAGGCAGCGGATTTCGCCATTTCCCCCCCTGCATTTTATGTTCCCCAGGGCACTTTATGTCTTTTGACTCTCCTGGGTAATGATGCTGAAGAACCAAAGGAGTACGCAAGGAGTAACACGCACTGAAAGCTGGCTGACAGTGGTTAATGGGAGAATTAGTATTCGTTCTTCCCTAACCTCTCCTTGGAGTATCAAAATCCTGAAACAAGCAAGGCCATCTTGACAAGAGACCCAAAAAAAGGAATTGAACTAAATCTTCTGACAGATAATTGTAATGATGATGGCATGCTAGAATGATTTTCAAGTGTAGCTTTGCAAATTGCTTTCTCCACTTGCCTCCCTCCGCTTATTCCAGCTGAGGGATGTAACTCCTAGCTCTTTGTTCATGGGGGTCCCTTCATCCCCACCCCAAATGAGCTATGCTGCATTAAATACACATTCAAAGCCAGTTCTGCCATCCAGCATTCGTGCTAGGGATAGGGGAAAATTCTTGGCTCTGTATCAGCAGGAGCTTTGCTTTCTGAAGCCCCGGCCTCCCCAAGGCAGCTGCTGCCTGTACCTGCACCAGCAGAACTGGACGTACACCAGGAGGCAGTCAAGAAACTACTCCACCATTCCATTATTTGCAGCCTAGACCAGAGCTCCAGCTCATCACACCTGACACAGCCCCTCTGGAGCTGGCACAAAAACACACAGCAGTGTCTGAAGTGCTGTCTTCTCTGCCCCAGACATGAGCAGAAGGCAGGATCAGGCACCCCAGCACAACCAGTGGCTCAGCTGCTTACTGCCTCCGTCCCCTGCTAGACAGCTCTCAGACCACAAGGCTTTTCAAACTGCTCTATCACACATCATTTTTTTCAGCACACCACGTGACAAAGAACACAAGGTACAGTAAAAGATGTTTCCCCCAGAAGAACGCCAAGCAGCCAAAAGAAGGAGGGCTGCGTGTGTCCAGGACAGTCCCTGCATTTGCTCAGGAGATTTCAGTGGCTGAGCCTAAGGCTCCCCTCGTGTCTCCTGAAATCCACTTTAACCTCCCACAACAGCACAATCCCCTCCAGTTAGAAGCACATTTCATAAAAAGCAGGTTACAGCTAGGAGCTTGCAAGATTTCAAAGTATTGGTTTTAACAGCATTTTGTACTAAAGTTTCATTTCATGCCAGGCAGTGTCTTCTCCTCCCCACTTCCAGCTCCCCATGAAACAGCTAAGCTCTCTTAAAAACCAAGCATCTCCATTTAGGATATCTGTATGTTACAGAAGTACCTTTATAATACTGCATCCCTCATTTCTCTCCCTTCCCCCCCTTTATTTCAAATACGAGGACAAAAGATAATTTCGGTCACTCTGCCTTTGAAAATGGTTATCATAACCACCTTATTTGCCCACCTTCCACTGGTGCGTGTGACAGGTTCTCAAACAGCTCCAACATTTGGGACTGTGCAATTAAGATCTAAGACTTAATGACTCAGGATGGCCAGAACACATGACAGAAACTGGTTTCATTACAAAACGGAGGTATAATTCCCACATCCTCACTGGCAAAATGATGATGCTTGTACTGTACATGAAACCTGAGACATCTAGGTTGAAACACGCATGTGGGTGCGTCAGACAGACCTTGCAGTCGTGAAACCCATCCACAAACCTGCTCCCACGTGAAGCTGCAGGCAACGTTACTCTAACAGTATGTCTTGGTGCATTTTTCTTCCTTTCCCCCTCAATACCAGCAAGGGTTTTATGTACACTGCTGACCACTGAAGGGACTTGTGGGTGTGCGAGTACTGTCCCAGCAACCAGCCCACACACAGCAGGAGGCAGATGTGATTTCACACGCACCTGAAACACACGATGACACATAAGGTAATGAGACCTACCCCCACGTGCTCATACCCACAGCTCAACCCATCAGCAATGGATGGATAAAGCCCAACAGGCGCACACAGCTTTGCTGGTCAACACGTGGCCTGAGCCAATGCAAAGCAGCAGAAGCCCCAGGTACTAGAAGCAAAGCTGAGCAACTCCTGTCAAATGACAACCCTTCCCCTCAGGCCCCAGCAGCAATTCCCTGAGGAGCTGCTTACTCTGATGCTGCCAACCCCAAGCAGCCGCGAGCAGGGACTCACGGCTGTAGCAAGAACATACTGCTGGGCACACCTCACAGGAGGAGGACCAAGTTCGGGACCTTTTCCAGGAAAGTGAAGATGTTTTCCTTACTAAGGATACACAGAAATGCTGATTACAGCTAACTTGCCCAAGATCGCTGAGAGGAGGGAAGAGAGACAGAATAACGTGTGCTGGTTGAGAAGGTTGAAAGAATCACTGAGTGAATCCAGCCCTGGTGGGACCTACCAGGTTGCATTTGTGCAGAGATGAGCAAAGAGGTTCCTGTACTTACCAGAAGGAGAGGCATAGGACAAGCCGCAGCCCGCAGACAGGCAGCTTGTCCAGGCTGTGCTGTGAGCACCAAGGACCTAGGAGAGGACCAGGCTGCAATGCAGCACTAATTCTGCTCAAAGGAAAGAAAAAGACTGAAAGACTGACTCCCATATGCTGCCTAATCCTCCTCATCAGCACTGACAAACTTAGCCCTTTCTTTTCTTCTGAGACCTCAGAAGAGGCCTTGGAAAATTGCATTCCTTTTTCTTTGTGCGCTGCTTGCTGTCCTTCTAGCACCCACTTCGGCTTGTAATGCTTCCAAGCCTCAGAAGAATCTCAATCAAATGACAAGGTTAGAAGAAAGTGTTTAGAAACAGGAAGGCAAGTGGAGCATTAATATTCTGCGCAAAGCCCAGCACTGAGATTCCCAAGTCTCTGCTTTAAACGTAATTTAGTTTTGCTCTAATTTGTACCCCAAGCTCTGCTTTGTACAGCGTTCCTTTTGAAGGGAAAGCAAGAGAAGTGGTGTGTGCATGCACTCATGCACACGTCCATGCACAGACTGAGACCTGCTGACACACCATGAGGCTCTGCAGGTTCTGGTGCCTCCACAGAAGCTGTGATGCAGAAGGTGCTCATTAAAACCAGCAGCCCACCTCTTAGTGGTTTCCAGTTGTCAGGTTTTGTTGTTCAGAAATCTCAGGGAAATAAATTACTGTTTTCACCCCAGACACAAAGGAAGAAATGGCAACAGTAATTCTTTTGGCCTCTCTACAGCATGCTAGGTGGTGACTTCTGTTCGTTTCTTTTCGAGTCATTTGCCCACTCTGCTTTTTAGGGTTTTTAATTTTAATGACAATTCTCCCTCAGGTCTTCTTTTGCCTACACACCAAACTTTGAGCTGAGTATTACTGAATAAGGCTGCTATAAACAGTGTGCTGGATGGAAGCAAGCCAGAACAGGCACCAGCCCCTTTTGTTGACACCCTGATCTCACAGACATGAACAAAATATTAAAATCAGAGACACCTGCTAGTTCAAATATCACATCTTCAGCTCTACTTGATACGAGTCACTCACCTTTCTTCGCTCTGTTGCTCAATGAGCATCAAAGAATATTTCATTTTGCCTAATCCGCTGTGCATCTTCACCATCATAAC